GCCCAACATGGCCCAAGACAACCAAGCCCAAAACCGAAGCCCAAAAAGAAGAAGTTCAAGTCTACTGAGTACGTGGGGCGTACTCAGCCTGTATGCTCAGCGTACAACATGAAATGCTTGTACGTGCAACGTACAAACTTGTATGCCCAACGTACTCACCAGTCGTGGCCAACATTCCAAAATAAGCTCTTAACCCATTAAGACTTTGATCCAAACTCAGATCTAACTTCCCCAAGGTGGTTAACCACATAAAGTTGCCAACTTTATGTGCATACATGGCTAAATGAGACTCTAGAACTCAAAGGGACTTAATACTTGACTTAATAAATGCATGGGACCAAAACCCCCATAAAGTTTGCACCTTTCTATCAAATGAACTCCCAACTCACACAGTCCTCAATCCAGACGGTCACTTGAGCCGCCCTTCCCCCCTACGGTGATGTGAAACTCATCCTAGTTTCACACCTGATTCCGCTCCCAGAAATCTTAACAGTTCTCCCCCACTTTGATTCTACTAAGCTCTCCCAGTACTCAAGGTTTGAAAGATTCCCAATCCATCTTACCCCCTTATGATTGCACCGCTGATAACCTGCACTTACTAATGCTAGTTTTCCATTACTAACCAATCCAAAGACTGCACCACGCAGAAGACCAGATGAACACTCCCCGATTAGTGGTTTAAATGTTCCATGTACTTCTGGTTTCAAATGGAAGGGCCCAATATGATCGCATAACATCCCTTCAAGATTGTTATGCACATTTCTTTGATTCACTCTGATTGTTTGAGAATACTTTTTACATTATTGATTTTGAAAACAATTGGTTTTATCACTTTTGAGTGTTCTAAAAAATGAAAAATTTACTAGTATTTGGGTTGTTTCAACCTCATTAAAATCACCCACACATAAAGAATGCCACCAAATAAACCTCTAGCTTACGAGCAAGCGAAATCAAAAGAAAAATTATCCCATATACTGCTAACTGTAAAAAAACTATGTACGTGTCATATTAGATTCTTATAAATAAATAAAATCAACACAACTTCTAGTACATAGCTCATGCATTTTTTTTCTTCGGATCTCTCCCAAGACCTTGAACATTCAAAGAATTAAATTTCATGGACAATCTTTACCCCCACTTATACCCAAAAAGTATATCTTTTAAAACCATAGTACAAGCTTTCATTAAATATCCTAAATCTTTTCCAAGATCATTGAATGCATCAAATTTTTTTAACATTGAAACCCATCAGGTGTTTTAGTTTTTCTACACAAGTCTACACGTTGTAGACTAGATTTCGCTAATTCGTCTTGTTTATCCTTCTCGACAATTGTATCTTGTACCCCCTCACTAATTTCTTCAACCTTAAATTTGTTCTCCCCTTTTACACTAGATGATATCACCTTCAAAATCTCAGCAACCCCATATGATTTTGCTGAAGGCGGTGCTGCAATGTGTATTTATATAGTGATAACTGCTGCTAGCAACAACCTTGGTTCTACTGAGTAGCTTGGAATACTTTTGTGGCAGCCTTTTGGTGGCATAACCAATCCTCTGTAGGTGGTGTAAAACACAATGGAAAGGAATGTGCTCCTAAATCTTGCTTATTGTTCCTATCTTCCTCTCTATTTGCATAAATAAGAAGATACAAACCAAATTGATAAGCTGACTTAGACTCCTCTTAATGCAGAGAAAAACTACATAATCATCATGTTTTTGACAAGCATTATCATTTTGTAGAACCGTCTTTTCTACCCCATTAGATTCCTTGTCATCCTTCCAAATTTCCACATGTACCGAATTGAAATCACCTTCGAATTCACTTCTCCATAGTCTTTATTTTCATGAGTTGTTTAATTGAAATCACCTTGGAATCCACCCTGTGACCTCTTTCATACGTACCATAAACACCTTGCTTTCAGTTATAATATTCAAAGATTATGAAATAAGAGAAAATATACCGTTTTGACACATACACAAGTGCTATAAATATTAAAACTTGTGTCATCCTTAACATATAATAAATCAACCCATCTATTTACAATCTTCTTGAAATTTAGAGATGACCAAGCCTTAACTGGCACACCTTCAATATCAAGCCACATAATACGTTGGTAACACCATAATTTTTAAAAAACATTTATTATCAATAAAATTATGCTTTTACAAAAACTTTCAAATTATTATCAGAGCTTACGACATTGGGTGTTAGAAAACAATATCATCAGCTATAGTAAAAGTGAAAAGGATTATACGACCTCATCTGGTTTAATTGTGATCCTTCTGGTAGCGTACTCTATCTTCACTTCCATACCTGAGTACATAACACAAACTATGTAAGTCCAAATACTCTTGAGTTACATGGGTTTTGACTTAGTAACACATTTAGTATAAATTCCAAATCTCTCATTTCTTTAATATGACATCATTATTCTAGTACAAACTTGCTCACACATTACTAGCATAAATCTAGTTTAGTATGACATCACTGCATTTTAACCCTACAGAGGAAAACCTATGGTTATTAGCTACTACTGTTTGCCAGAAATCTGTAAGGTCCGTAAATTCGGGCTAGACAGTTAAGATATAATAAGCGATAAAATGACATTTTGATAGAAGGTTAATTAGGATAAATAATCTTAACCAAAGTTATAATATACAAGACAAGGATTCCATACATATAAATAACTCTGAAATTTGACTTCTTCTTTGAAGTTATTCTTCTTCGAAGTTTCGGGATTAAACCGACACGACTGTGCGCGTCATAAAAAGTGAATTTTAGATAGTTTGCTTATTAGCCTAAGCAATCTAAACGAAAGTCGTAGTAATCGTAAAACCAAGATCATGCATATAAATAACGTCCAAATTTGACTTCGTATGAGGAAGTAATGATTTTTCGAAGTTTCAGCGTAGCAGTATTGACACAGAAATCGAAATTCAAATCGGTTGATTCTTAGCCGAAACAATCTAAATGAGAACTGAAGATATCATGAATATAAGCCCTTCAATATAAAGATAGTAGAGAACATAGTTCGTGAAGGAGATATGAATTTCACACAGACTTAAACAGTCTAAATATGAATTTTTGTTAGAGAATGAATTAGCGGTTGAGACTTTAATGAAAGTTATAGAGCTCGTCGAGAGGATTCTGGGGATATAAAGAATGTCAAAAAAGGAGCTTGTATGCGAAAGTTTTGTCGTCTGAAGATCTGCGAGGAAATACATGCGTTGGGGACGTGGCAGCACTGGAGTGTGCCACGCGGCATGGTCCCAGGCGATGTGGCAAGATACGGACGAGACACGTGGCTCCATGGGAATGTGAGATGTGTTACATTCTAGAAGGGTGAGATGTGGAAGAATCAGGTGGTGACTCGTGGCGAAAGAAGAATGGAGGCACATCATCAAAGGGCGCAGAGCGCACCCTCTGATTTCCTATAAATTGAAGCTCAGATCAGCCATAATCCTCACAACATTCACTAGAATTTCTCTATGGACAATCTCTCTTAAAAATACAAAATTTCTTAGAATCGTAAGGTTCTTAGGCTAGGCTCTGGAGGATCTGCGAATCCGAGAAATAGGAGCTTTCGGTTTCAGAGTTCTGTTCGTGCAATTTCCCGGTTTTCACTGAAATCTCTGTAAGTTAAGCTACACTTAATTTATTTCAAGTGTAACTTATATTTATGTTCATAGTCGTTATTATGAACCTATAAATAATAATTATCAGTGATTCTAAGTCACTGATTGATCTACTTGCAGGGATTATGACTAGGCTGGATTTAGTGAGGTGTTTAAAGTGGTATTTCCAAAAAGTATACTCTGTATACAAAACGGACACTACCTCCAATATGGTCCTACCTAGTTTTTCGTTACTTGATAGATCTTGATGTAGACATTGGGATTAGTGATGAATCTAGACTATCATTATTCAGGGTGAATATTAAACTAGGTCCTTGTGATAATTGAACTTAGGTCACATCAGAGGAAAAACTAAAGTATTAAGGTGAAGTTCTGCCCAAATTCCAAGGCATCGAATTTTATCAAGTGAGTGCATTGTTACTTTCATCTTACACATATATATGAAGTATTTAGATAATTAAGTGCTATGTGTGCCTATTATCTGTGATTAAGACCTTCTGTGTTAGATGAAATTATATGATCTGATTTTATTTAACCATATATGTATTTTTATACTTATAATATATGGGGTAGTGAAGGGTAAAGAGAGATGAAAATAATGATGAGAATCCGAGACTTTTATAGTACTACTGGACTAGCAATGTAGTCAACTAGTAGGGTATTGATGGTGACCACAGACTATTCTAGACAAGTCAGGTCAAACGTGGGCTGGTACACAACCTGTAGATGTTTATAAGTTAAACATGCACATGTATATAAGTTGTAGCTGTTTATAAGCCATACATGGGTAGGTTTACAACCGGTAGGTGTTAATCGATCATACATGGACTTGTTTACAACCTGCAGATGTTAATGAAATTGTTTGCGGACACACTACAAATAAAATTACATTTAGTGGCTCAAAGTTTTAGTGGCATTTTGCTTTTGTGCCACTATAACCTACTTTTAGTGGCACTTTTGTTTTGTGACACTATAAGTTTTAAAGATATAGTGACACTTTATATCTTATGACACTAATAACCTATTTTTAGTGGCATTATTAATTTTGTGATACTGTTTTCATAATTATTAGTGGCATAAAAGTATTATAATTTTTTTATGAATAATATGTTATATTTAATTTAAATTTGTATAAAATATGAAAAAAATTGGAAAATGTGAATTAAAAGCCCTCCTTTTTTTTGCCAGCGGGAAACTATTTTCCCCAAAATTTACAGAAACCCGATTTGTTTCCCTCCTATCTAAAACCCTCGACTAAAATGTTAACTTTACACGCTTAACTATCTCCTACGCTCCCAATTTCCATCGTCTCCCACCCATGCCCTAAATCCCTAATCTCCATAGCCATCGCCGTCGCCATCACTATGTATCCTCGGTATAACCTTCAAACCGTCGCCGGTCAACCTCTGCAACTTGCCACCACTTCTTGCCTCCATGTTCTACCCAGCCATCGTCGATTCAGTTTCCCCTCGCTAAAGAGTTTGAAGGTATCCTCCTTCCACTTTCCCTAATCACGTTTACATAACTGTTTTACGTGAATGATAATCAGATTCAAAAAGTTATACACGGTATCAATTACGTGATGAAATTCCTGAAGAGTTTGTGTCTGGAACTATGCCTTCATCCCCTTCTAGGTTCGAGCATCGCCGAGAAAAGTAATACATGGTATCAATTATTATTTGTTATCTGATTTTCAGTTTTTTCATTGAAATTTGTGTTCTCGGGTTTACAATTTTAGTTCTAATACTCTACTTCTTCTCAAATTATTAGATTTTAGGGTTTACAAATTTTGTTCTAATACTTTGCATCTGATTTCATTATTTCATAGCAACAATCATTGGAAATGGAATGCCCTGATTTCTTATTTTTTTGTGGTAGTTCCTTTGATCACTTAAATCATATTTCTAATTTTCAGAATTACTTCTTGATTTCTCATGTTTATGCTATTTACCCCCTTTTGGCCAGTAAAATCGAATTTGCCCATGTGCCTTGGTACCATGTTGCTGCTTGTGTTGGTTTTTTTTTTTTTTTACACTTCCATAGACCACAAGACCACAATTTGTTGAGGTAACTTATGTTTTTTTAGTTAACATATTGTTATACTAAATTTGCTCCGTTTTTTTGGTTTTTTAACTCTATGCAATAATGACTAGGAAATGAAGTTAGTTATTTCACTAACCAAGATCCCAACCAATATCAATAGATTACGGATCAACAGCCTACTAAAGAAGAATGTAATTTCTTAACTTATAATGTTACTATAGCATTGTACTTTTAACTTTATAAATGCCTTTCTGATACCTTTTGTAAAGTATAACCAGCAACTGTTTTTGGAAAATGTTTGAAATTATGTTCATTTATAGCAATGCACTTTATATAAATTAGAATTTATGAGATTTAAAGATGGTTTTTGGAAAACATTTGAATCTATACTCATTTATAACAATGTACTTTATAAAAATATTTTTTTTAAAACTTTTTGAACATACATTTTAGAATATGCTTGTATTTATGCTCATTTATAGTAGTGCACTTCATAAAATCCGTTCCTTTGACATTTTGAACATACATTCTAGAATATGCTTGTATTTATGCTCATTGATAGTATTGTACTTCATAAAAATCGGTTATTTTGACATTTTGAACACTTTCTACAATATGCTTGTATTTATGCTCATTTATAGTGTTGTACTTCATAAAAAATGGTCTTTTCACATTTTGAACATACTTTATGGAATATGATTATATTTATGCTCATTTATAGTAGTGTACTTCATAAAAATCGGTTATTTTGACGTTATGGACATTCTTTATGGAATATGCTTGTATTTATTCCTTATAGTAGTGTATTTCATAAAAATCGACAACTAAGTGTGACGCTTCTTTTTATATTAGTGGCATTATTACTATTATGAATTTGTTTTGGTTCTTGATAATTTTATGCTTTCTAATAACTCTCCTTTAGGAAATCGAAGAGCCTCATCTAAAAGCAACCATAAAAATGGTAATTACCTTTAACTCGGTTAACTAGGTGTGTACGCTTTTTTTTATATGTCATGCTTATTGGTGATATTTTACATGTTTGTATATGGTGTATTATGTATGATAGGCAATTGTTTGTAAGTTGGATGAATGAGAGAAGCAACTATACAAAGTTCGAGGTCATTCAAGTTTCGTGTTTCTTTCCAACAAGTTTTTAGTTCAATAGTATTATGTTTTAAGTACCTGGACAACATTTAGACATATTGTTTTTGAATATAGTTGTGATTTAAATGTGTTGAAAATAGTGTTTTTAGACAAGTTTGAATTGGTGTAATGATAGTTTGTTTTTGTTTATTATCTTAATTCATATTATTATATTATATTCCATTTAAATTAAAAAATAGAATCTAATTTATTAATATAAATTTTTTGTGTTAAAAAAATGCCATTAAAACATGAAAATAATAATTATTTTTTCAGTTAAATAGTGGCATAAAAATAGTGCCACTAAAACCAACAAGTAATTTAGTGGCATACTTGAAAAGTGCCACTAAAACCCAATTAGGCTGCAGCGACACAACCAAAAGTGCCACTAAAGGTCTTTAGTGGCAGCGCTTTTAGTGGCACTTTTTTTTGTGCCGATGATTGCTTGGGGATATTTTAGTGACACTCTTTTGATTTTTAGTGACACTTTTTTTGTGCCACTAAATGTCATTTTATTTATAGTGACAGGTCTACGACATGTAGGCATTGATGAATTGTATCGGACAGGTACACAACCTGTAGGTGTTACTAAATTATATATGGGCATGTCCCCGGCCTATAGATATTAAGCAGCCACATACGATCAGGACTACGTCCTATAGGTATGAATAAATTATTCATGTGGGTATTCTGTTCACCCCATGTTCATCTTCTTAGCATATATTGCTAAAGAATACCCGAGGCAGTATTGTTCACTTAGAGATCCTTTAGGATACATCCCTTGAGATCATCGGTCTAGGATCAGGGAGTGAGAATAACGGGAATTGGTAATCGGGTTAATTGTTCGATGTGAATTATATAATTCTAACAAATTGTTATAATATTGTGGGTTCAAAAATCCTATGTACTTACCAGGTTTTCCAGCCTGACCCACTCAGTTTCTTTGTTTCACAGGTAACGATATGAAGTATATGATGTTTGGACTTGATCAGAGATTAAAGGAAATGAAGGCCAGTAGATGTTATAAGGCCAATAATATTTACGTTTATGCTTATGTTTCTTGTATCAGTTATGACATCCTAAGTTAATCAATGAAAAAAATTTCTTCGGAAATACTTTTTACGTGAAACATTCTGCTATATAAAGAATACTTTGTTTTTAAATAAGCATAAATAAAAAGGTCTATTCTAACAGTGAAATTGGGGATGTCACAAAATCCATCCCGAAAGTTGCCTATGAGTGAGATATTTTCCTATCATGGGCTCCAACATTTATGAAACATTTGCCAATTATGGGATCCAACATTTGTGACACATTTTCATGTCATGGGCTCCAACACCGGTGATACATTTTATTATCATGTGTTGTAGCATTTGTGACATATTTCCCTGTCACAGACCCAAAAAACATTCATCATCAGCTTCCTAGTACCTCGCATGCGGGGTACACTATATTCTCAGCCACATATAAGGCATTAGGTGCCTTTTTTCACACATAGTTTTCATCAAGCTTCCAATACAGACACATATGCATCTACAAATCAGTTTTCCAATAACTTCCTGGGAAACTCATAATAACTATAGAGCTTAACTATACTCTTAGTACTCATCCTTGGAGTACAATATATTCTGAATTACACAGAAGGCATCTTACGCCTTTTTATATATAGCTTTTCCATAAAGCTGTTATCATACATTTATATACAGCTTTTCATAAGTTTTTTTTCCAAACACATACATACTTATAGCTTTTAACACAATTAGGCATTTTACACTATTTATTACAGATGGCTTTCAGTAAGCTTTTAACAAAATTTCATAGATAAGATTTATGTCAAGCAAATTTCCTTTAAAATGATAATATATATATCTATCTATATATACATATATATATATATATATATATATATATATATATATATATATATATATACACACACACAAATAAGGCTATTTGTCCAAACATATCTAATATTAAAATACATGGCTGTATAGCTTAACCAAAGCTCTCACTATTCAACCATACATTACACTATTTATCAAATTTATTAACTATTAGCATTGCTCTTTTTAAAACCATTTAAACAATCATCATGATTATTCTTTCCAAAGTATCCCTTTTGGTAAATCATGGAAATTAGGGATTTATATTTTGAAATCCCTTTAATATCAAAACATTATTATATAACCAAGAATAAGTACACCTAGTAACTTATTCACACATTTTCACACAATATAAACTACTTAGCTATATACCCAGAAAATCCACATGTATTCACCTGGCTAGTTAGTGAAGACTAACTATTGGCTTGGCCTCACGCCATGTGCTACTTTCTAGCAAACCGCTTGTGTAGACCTATCAGGTAATATACCAAGTTCATTAGAACTAAAAAAAAACTCACTTTATAATTTTTCCAGTGATCCTTTGATTGACCACAAACTAATCTTGGTAACCATTTTTTACCAGGCTCATCGCGTCTCCAGTTACAAATGCCACACAACTTAACCTCTCAATTCGTTAGCTTAATCACTCACTTCTTACTATCTCGTAACACAGGATCTATAAATCTCATCAACCAAGCAATAATTCCACAAGGGAAATCACCGGTCAAACTAATCCTTCAAGTCGATATTAACACCATATCACAGACCTCTACTAACTGACATGGGTTTTAAATAACATTACATAGCATAAACACATAATAACAGGTGAGAAAACTACCTCATCACAATCTATGATCTCATCCTTGCATGTCGACGATAACACATACTTTCGTAAACTACACATTGTTGCTAAGCGCTTGGAATTATCATCGTGAAAAACGTTCACCGAAAGACGACCTCAAACTATATTTATAAGGGTTCAGAACCTGCTTTCGTGTCATGACAATATCCTTGTTTGTGTCAAGACCTACACATACAGGCCGATTCCTTGCCACACATCCTTCGATTGTGCCATGTGTCTCCTCCATAAGACACATGTACCAGTGACTCGGTCTTATCTTTGCGTCACTTTTATTCTATATTCACATCGTGCTATAGGCCACATGTTGCATTCCTATGTTTCACATCATGATTTTTGTCTGTTGACTTTTCTCAGATAACATCATACTTTCTAGTTCCCCAATATTGTATCTATTAATAATAATTTCCCTTAATTTATTGTTAAATAAGTAACAATTTTTTCGGTTGTTACAACGTTCCATAGAGTAAAATTCATGCCACCATGGTACAATGTCCATAAAACATGAATTGATCCGTTTGTGGAAAAAACACCAATCAAGAGCACATACATATTGGAAATCTAAAGCAACCCAAAATCCTCCCATATATCTAATTCCCACATCATTGAAACCTTCATTATGGAAAATTATATTCAAGTTGATAAGGGAATAAAATTCCTTCACATTACCTAAAAGTGACATAGAAAAATCTTGGCGATTAAGACGACTAGCGTCAATAACAACAACAAGTGAAGAGTCAACTGTATGCACCTGGGGTCTCATTGGTTCTCTATTTACTATTGAAGTATAGGTCTTTCCTCGATCTGGTTCATGAAAAACAAGTGACACATTAAAACGTTGTGTCCCGGTCTTGTTAACCTATTTTATACCATAATCAAATCTTGCCACGTTAGCGATCAACCTCATCCTACTAATCCAAATCATTAATCGGTTTGATACCAATATGTTTACATCATTACCATTTAAAAAGATAACAAACCTAAATGACTTGCCAAGTTAATTTAGTATAGAAGCAATGTAAGAATTGATCATTGTTCCAAACTTCTCATAGGTTTTCAAAAGTTCTTAGGTAATAACTAGATAGGAAAACCAGTCATAAAAATATTGAATGAATTATTCCCAGTCATTAATGAAATCTTTTTCTCCACAAAAACTAAACTTATGTAATACCAAGTGATGATACGTAGCTTCCTAGGTAGTTGTTGGTGCGCTAATGATCTCATCCGATAGGGCCAATACCAGAAGTTTCATTGCAAAATAGATAGAAACTAGTTAGGAAGCATTATCAAGGATGGGACCTAGATATTACTCTCTGATACCTAAGTTAGACATCAGATGTGAATTTTGCTTAGTTGTTTCTGTATGTAAAGATTGATTACCCTATTTCATTGAGAATGCTTGCTTTTATATACCATTAAAGAAGAGTTGGGATGAGCCTTTTATCCGGTCTCTTGCAAGATCTGCCTAAACCAAGTTGTCTATTTGTACTCATGCTGATTTGTTTATTACGCATATTTGTTCCTTGAATATTTTCAGGGATATGTTTTGCTCGAGTTATTACTTGGTGTGTGTTGCAATGTACTCGAGTATAAAATTATGGCCAAAAAAATGAAGCTATGGATTGTCTCTAGTGGTTACACGGACCATTATTTATGGTGCAGCTGACCCGTGTATGGGTTACAGTTACATTAAATGTTGATAACTACCAGTAAAAAATAATAATTATGCGTCAATTTTTGTCATTTGGACTAAAGTTTATGTGGTAATCGAAGCATCGTGCATGGATGGGTTAAAGTTGCATTAAATTTTGATAACTGCCACTTGGTCACATCCATTGTTTGATTATATTGAATAATTAATGCTTATCTAGTCCCTCATATTATATGTCAAATATTATTGATTTAGAACTGTAACATCCGTTTCCCAGAATGGATCAACTAAAGATTTAATGGGATCAAAGATGGAATTTTTGGAGAAAAACCTTGTTCCACGATGTGCGTCATGTGTGACCATGATGTGGAAAGGATTTCATTAAAAGTAAACTTTTGGTGAACACCACGATGTGGAAAGAGGGTTGCCACGATGTGGTGGCTGTTGTAGTCCAAGCCCACGATTTTTAGGGTTTCTTCCGTATTTAAAGCCTTTAACTTCAAGATTAGGGCATCCTTCTCAGCCCCTAACCTTACTAAACGAAAACCTAGCCCCTTTTGATGATTCTTTATGTATTGTTGGTGTTTTTGAGGTTAAAATCCTTGGTTTTCACTGTGGAAAGATGAAGAAGGTGTGCTTGCTAGTTAGAAGAGTGTATCTACATTAGATCTTGCATCTCCTACATCTTGTGGAGATTAGGAAGGTATAAAACTTCCATGTTTATCATCCTCTTC